AAGACGAGTCCCTACTACGAGATCTTACGGGAGTACGCGGACGTACTTCCGGAAGAGATCCCTGCGGATCTTCCGCAGGGCAAGGGCATCCAGCACGAGATTGATCTCGTGCCGGGGACGAAGTACTGTGTCACCCGGCAGAGGCCACTGCCGCGAGAGCAGGTCAAAGCGATCGACGACTTCTTCGAAAGTCGTCGCAAAGCTGGACAAGTGCGGGAATCGAAGTCCCCGCACAGTGCTCCGACGTTCTGTGTCAAGAAGCCACAGGGCGGCTGGCGCATCGTTCATGCGTACAACAAGTTGAACGATGCGACGATACCGGCGCAGACGCCGATACCTCGAAAAGATGTCATCATCGATTCGATGGCCAGGAGCATTATCTACAGCGCTCTTGATCTGCGCGATGGGTTCTATCAGATCCTCATGCGTGAGAGCGATATCACTCACTCTCACGACCGTGAGCCCGCCGAGCGGCATGCTCTGGGAGTGGCTAGTGATGCCGCAGGGTCTGAAGAACGCCCCTGCGACCTTCAACAGGTGCGTGACGCACTTGTTGCGCTCGGTGCGCGACTTCGCACCGAGCTACTTCGACGATGTGTTCGTCCACATCCGGGCTGCGGACGGGATGAGCGATGTTGAGATGCACAAGGTGCATCTCCGGAAGCTGCTTGCGCTCATGCGCAAGCACAAGCTCTATGCAAACCTGAAGAAGTGCATCTTCGGGGCGAGCGAGATACCCGTGCTCGGGTGTCTCGTTGGGAAGAACGGTGTCCGCCCTGACCCTGAGAAGGTCAGAGTGATCAATGAGTGGCCGACGCCGTCGAACGTCAAGGAACTGCGGCAGTTCCTTGGCTTGACCACGTACTTGTTCAAGTACGTGAAGGACTACGCGGGCATGATACGCCCGCTGTCACAGCTCCTGAAGAAGGACGCCGAGTGGGTTTGGACTGCTGAGTGTCAGCAGACCTTCGATGCAGTCAAGCGGGGCTTGACTGAGTCGCCGATCTTGGCGGTGGCCGACCAAGATCGCCCGTTCCACGTTGTGTGTGACGCATCCGACTTCGCAATCGGATGTGCGTTGATGCAGCACGATCACGAGGGTCGTGATCGTGTCGTCTACTACCAATCGCGTCAGCTGAAGCCGGCTGAGCGCAACTACCCGGTGCATGACAAGGAACTCCTTGCCATGAAGTACGCACTCGCGAAGTTCCGAGTGTATCTACTCGGAAGCAAACCGTTCGTGGTCTATACGGACCACGCGTCGCTGCGGATGGCTGTGAAGTCACCGCACATCTCGCAACGGATAGCGAGATGGCTCTCATTCTTCGCAGAGTATAACTTCCGGGTTGAGTACAAACCCGGAAGACTCAATGTGGTGGCCGACGCGCTCTCGCGTCGACCTGACTACGCCACGACTGATGCCGACGTCAATGCCATTGACGCCATGCGATCGAGCACCCCAACGTCGTCACTGTTGGACGACGTGAAGGTCGCGTAGGCACACGACGCGGACGCGAAGCTCTTGCTGGCCTATGGCTCAGCGCCCTCTGGCAAAGCTCGTCAGAAGCTGCCGAAGCATCTTCGTGCTCGTGCACACCGTTATCGGGTGCACGACGGGTTATTACTCTACAGTGCAGTCGACGACAACGCGGAGCGCTTTGTCGTGCCCAATGACCATGACCTGCGACTCAGGATCATGTATGAGTATCACGATGCACCGACGGCGGGGCATCCGGGCCGTGAGAAGACATACCTTCTTCTCACGCGAGACTTCTACTGGGCCCACCAGTATAAATGGGTGCGCAAGTACGTCCGTGCTTGCGAGGTTTGTCAACGTGTGAAGCCTGCGCCTTTCGCGCAGGTTCCCTTGCAGTCACTACCAACTCCACGGGAGTGTTGGCAGTCCATGTCTTTGGACTTCGTGTTCGGTCTTCCCCCGGACCGCCAGGGGAACACGGGCGTTGTGGTCTTTGTTAACCGCTTCAGCAAGATGGTACATCTTGCTGCAGTACCCGCTGAAGTGACTGCGAAACAGACGGCGCGTCTGTTCGTTGACATGGTGTTCAAACACCATGGCATGCCGATCGACATTGTGTCGGATCGAGACCAGCGCTTCACTGCACACCTTTGGCAAGAAGTGTTTACACTTCTTGGGAGTCAACTTTCGATGTCGACTGCGGACCATCCGCAGACGGACGGGCAGACCGAGCGCGTGAACCGCGTGCTCGTAGACGTGCTTAAGAGCTACGCTCACTCGTTCCAACACTGGAGCGAGTGCCTGCCGATGGCGGAGTTCGCCATCAACAACTCGGTGCATGCCTCGACCGGGCATACACCGTTCTACATGAACGCCATCAGGCACCCACGCCTCCCGAGTCTCCTCGGGATGGTGTCTCCTTCCTTAAGTGGGGGAGGATCTCCGACAGCAACGCAGCAGCCGCAGAATGCCGCTGACACTTGCACAGTGTCAGCCGCAACGACACGAAGTAAAGCCACGAACCGCGCGTCTGTGCAGGACACAGACGCCGACAAGCGCACGAAGAACGTGTCTGTGCGGGGCACATACACTGACAAGAAGAAGAAGAAGAAGAAGAAGAACGGGTCTGTGTAGGGCCCAGACACCACGAAGACGAACGCAGAGGCCGGGCCTACTGCTGGAAACGAGCTGAACGAGTTCGGCTCGGACGTAATCAACTTCGTGCAGCGCAGACAAGCCGTCATTCGGTTTGTCCAAGACGCTATTGCAGCTTCGGTCGACCGACAGAAGCTGAACGCAGACAATGTTGGTAGGGGCAACACTAATGAATTCAACAAGGATTCATTGGTTTTGCTAGCTACTCAAAACCTGCCTAAACATGCAGTTTCCGACTTCGGGGCTCGTTCCGTGCTTCATCGGGCCGTTCACGGTGTTGGTACGGCATGGCAACGCCTACACGCTAGATATTCCATCTAGCATGCGCCTCCATCCGACCTTTTACGTCGGGCGGCTGAAGCCATACCGGCAGCACGAGCCACCTAGCTCGGCTGGCCCGAAGCGGAAGCCCCAGCGGGAGCGAACCTCTGCTCAAGCGCGTGAACGCGCTGGTCCAAGCGCGCGACACGACCCCCACGTCGACAGAGATGTCCGACGCGGTCTGCGAGCCCTGAGCGACTTGAGCCCTCAGGATCGCCACCTCCTGCTTCAGAGCGGCGAACTCCCGGCTCTGATGCTGTTCCACAGCAGCGACCCGCTCCTCGAGCGTCGGGCCAAGGTCAACCCCAGGTTGACCATACCCGGGGCGTGTTCCCACCACCGCCGCCTCCGATCCGCGACGCCCGCGGCTCAACACGCTGGATTGTTGATCGTATTGTGAACCATAGTATCCCGAAAACGAACCGGCAGCCGGTTCGTTATCGTATTCGTTGGAGAGGGTTTCCGCCCCATCAAGATGCATGGGAGCCACGGGACGTCCTGCTGTAGGACGTTCCGGAAATGGTGAGGGCGTACGAAGCTCATCACGCACTGCCGACGCGTAGGTAGTGCGAGCGCTGTAGTCACCTACAGCGCCCGAAGTCCCACGATCGTCGCGTTCCTCACTTGCCAGGAACTTGGCACGGAGATCTTTGAGACTGGCAGGTACACGAATCGTCGTGTACCCGTTTAGGCCGCGGTCGCTCAAGCGCACCGCACCCGGAAGACACAACGTGCACTGTTGGCCTTCGGGCACAGCGCATGGAATACCAGCGTCCACAGAGGATCTGTGGAGCTGCTCCAACCTCCCGCGCGTCGAGAATGTCTCGAAGCGTTCACGGGCATGCTTAACCCGCTCGCGGTAAGCAGCCGGTTTCTTGAAATTCTCAACAAAAGCATACCAACTTTGACAAAGTGCCTGCCAGTCAGGCACTTTGCTGCGAGAAGAGGTCTTCTTGCTGGAGAAGTATCGGAGTTCGTGAAAGAGTCCGATATAGTAATCGCGCCTTTGATTCGTTAACGGATCAAAGTGCTGCTCCTCCGCCACATCATCGTCGTGGATGCCGCTGCATACGTACAGCGGGATTTCATTTGGAGGCACGGTGTTGCCCACACGGTCTGCGACCTCTGACGCAGCCGGCATCCACGGATCGCGCGCTGCCTGAGCAGCACGCGGAGAACTTGAAGACGCCACTTCACGCGGGAGCTTAAAGTCCCAGCAGTAGAGAGCGGAGTGTCGCTCTCGCCGCGCGAAGGCTTCGAGCTCGAAGCGTCCGAGTCGTCTCCTTCACGAGGGCGTCTCGACCCGGCATGCGGGTCGAGACTATCGCTGTCGATAGACTCCTTGCACTTGCTAGAAGAGGCCTCGCCCTCTTCCATCTCCACGTCGCCGTCCTCGAAGTCAACGGTGTCGTTGACTACAGAGGAACCTTCGAGGACAATCTCCGGTTGAGTTGTCCCCGCCTCAGCCTTGGCAGCAAAAGCGGAACGCTTTGCTTTGTGACCCCGTGGACGTCTTTCTTCGCCGAATGAGGGAATATTCGCCCGAGACCAGCTCGGCTACGACCTCAACGGAGACAGGGACAAAAACCTGCGCACCGACCCCAGCTGAATTAACTATACCGCCTGCAACAACGACAGCGGCCATGGGCCATGGCCCATGGCCGCCACGTTGACGACCCCACGTACCCTCGAGCCTCTGCATATGCCCTCGGCAGCGGGAGAACTGCTCTCTAGGCCCGGGACGGCGCCGGATGCGACCTCGGTTTCCTGCACAGTGACTGCAACCTTGACAGACCTGCTGGACACGGGTCCACTAGCTAACCTAGCGGCGGCAAGCACCGAGAACCCGCCGTGTGCGCCCGTGTATGCGGACGACCGAGACGAACCGATGCAGCTCTTGCCGGCCGACTCGACGGCCTCGCGCAGCACGGATGAGGAGATGGTGCCCGTGCCGACGTGCATCGCGAGGGTGCCCGAGCCTGCAACAACGACGACTTCGACGGATAGCAACCTGGAGAGACCTGATGACTTACTGTGGACATTATACTTTGACGGAGCGTGCCGCCACCGGTCCACGGCGATTGGAGCCGCCCCCGGTGCTGGTGCCACGCTGTTTGCCGGCACAGTGAATAAGTGGACTTTTGCTCGCTACCTGGATAGCACGACGCACACTAACAACACGGCAGAATACATCGCGCTCATATCAGGACTGACTGGGGCCTTGCATCACGGTGTCCGCCGTCTCACGGTGAAAGGTGATAGCACACTCATACTGGAGCAGGTACGCGGACGCTACGCTTGCAACAACGCGCGCCTACGGCAGCTGCGCAACCAGGCGCGTCGCCTCCTACGCCGCCTTGACTACTATGAGCTGGTACATGTAGATCGACTAGAGAACCGAGACGCCGACAGACTGGCGAACCGAGCTCTCGATGGCAGGCGCACTCGGACAGAGTGCGCTACGCACGGAATGGACGGCGATGGCTACAGGGGGCGCTTAACTTCCGACCGACTAGCTTCAGGATCGCGAGCAGGACGTGACGCTGAGCCTCGTGAGCACCCCGTCGATGTGGAGATGGAGAATGCCGACGATGAAGCGGCGGCTACTGCTGCTGCTGACATCGTCCGCCGCGATCGAGGACAAACGTTTCCAGTGCTGCCAGTCACCGCTTACAGCACGCCGAGCCGCCAGCCAAGGTTGAAACTGCGGAACAACTTGACTGAGCGTGAACTCGAGGAAGCACATGCAGCGGTACAGCGACTCGGCCACGAGTTCGCGGACAAGCTCACCGTGTGGTCCATAGAGACTTAGGATTCCTATTAGCTGAAAGCAGCATATCTTAGCCAATGGGCGACATGCAATGCACTGGAATTCTGCCTACCAGCCCTTGGCAGATTCCTATCTTAGAATATTACATTTAGAGGAAGTCAGAAACATAAAACAAAAATAGCAGTTCTCATTTTAACCCAAAAACATTATTTGGATCGTTTATTTAGATTAATCTATACTCGGAGGCCCGAGTATAATTAACTCTAATTTAAACTAAGCTACCCTTCCTCACATACACATGCACAAACGTGTAAGCTAAAGTAGTGAGCCAAAGTAGGCCCATTACAGTGTCCCTCAGTGTATTAGTCTACCTACCGAGGGTTTACCTTGGTCCCCCTGTATAAGGCCTAACACGCCGGTACCCTTCCTTTCTGAGGGACTGCAGTGGGGTTGCGCGAAAGCGCTATATAGTATCCTAGCCTTAGCTCGTGGCTAGTGGTACAGGGTTTTGGGTTGACCGAAGATAACCTAAGTTGCACAGAGGCGCTTGCAACCGACCCGGTGTAAGGGATCGTTCCTGGTCTTCAGGTTTTGATCCAATAAGCGCTTACCTCTGCGGGTTAGCGTGTTGTTGGTGTCTCTAATACCTTTTGGTGGAAGATAATTTTAGTGGTATTACCACATCACACAATGTTATACGGGAACCAGTCGCGGATGTGACGGAGGAGACACTGAAGGCCGAGATGGAACATAAAGCAGGCGGTTTGATGAACGATCATATGTCAGACATGGCAAGGCCCCTCGCTGAGGAGCTGAGGATGGACTTGTGGCAGCCCTACATTGAGGCCTGCGTATTCATGGATCTCGATAGGCTTGTTGAGGGGCACGATCGGGCGGTATGGGTGGGGCGAGCGGTAGCCTCTGACGGTGCTGGTCGCCAGCGAATGAAAACTGGGTGCAAGCTGTTGGCAGCGAACCTGCTGCCCGACGTCCTGCGAGTTGATGTTGAACGGCTGGTGGATATGGCTTATCGTGAGGCGAAGGTGAACGACGTCTATCTGCACGGCCAGATTGCGACGCGTACGGTTCGTCAGCTGCATTAACACTTTATGCAGTCAGAAACTATGAAAACTGTTCAGCCCAAGGTAAAGCCCGGTGAAGCGAATCCGGCAAAAGGAAAACCGACTGAGACGCCAATGCTCTACGAGAGGCCCAAGGCGAAAGACCATGCGGTGAGGACGAGACAGAATCTAGAGTCCGAAAACTCTCTAGTTGTATTTTTTGTTTAGATGAGTACTCTCACTGCCTACCTTCAAACTCATACAACTCGTCAGCGCTCATCGATTCAGCTCCAAGTTGAAAACGATGCTCCGAACGCACTTATTTATCGATATCCATGCCAGCCATTGCGTTTAAAAGCTCATTCTCGCGGCTCAGCGCGTCTTGCTAAAGGCGAGCCAGGCAATTCCGTATCGACGGTGAATGTTTAGGATTTCAAGCTCGTCCTTGTGCATGTTCACGTAGCCGCTGATGTGGTCGACCTTGATATGGCAGTAATGACACACGATGTGGAAGTCTCCACGAATTCACTGCTTGTTGCAGAAAGAGCAGATCAAGTAGGGGGCCGACTTCCTCGTAGTCACGCCCGCGAAACTGGTCGTGACGAAGTTGCCTTGGGGTGGGTGAATTGACGGGGTAAGATCGATATCATTCAGTTAGATGATCTTACGGAGTGCTTGAAGCTCAACATCGACGTTTACACAAAAGATGTGGAGTCGGGCGAAGTTGAATGCATTCGCAAATCTGAGAAGGGTTATGCAACTCTCAGCACTCTATCTCACAGCAACCACGCGATATGTATCAAAAATATTGGTATGTTTCTCGGTAAATATCAGTGTCCTCAGTATGGAATGGTATTTCCGACGGCTACTAAGCTTAAGGATCATAAAAAGAATAGATGCGAGGAGGTGAATATTATGTCGTTTCCCAAGCAAACCACGATCTACTAGCCTGCGAAATTTTTTGTATTCCAGATGATGCAGAGATATTAAGTTCACGGGGCTACTCCTTATTTATAACGATCGCTTCATCGTTTACCACTTTGAATCTATCTTGAAGCCAACTCACATGCAGTCAGGGGAGAATACTGTCTTCATGAATAAACATATTCCTGTCAGTGTTTCAATTCTTAATACATTGTATAATTCGTATTTGTGTATCGTAGAAGAGTCACCAAAGAGGCGTGTTGAGAGGATGTTCCGGCTGGTACTCCACTCAGTGAGTATTTTAACCTTAACGGACTCAGAAAATCATACCAGATTTTGGGGGGAAGCCAAAACCAACTTTGCTAAATACTGCGGAAGGCACATTGGCATTGCTTTTACATGTTCTTTAGTACAAACTATTCAACATGGACGCTACTGTTTCCTTGCTTGAAAACGCGCGAACGCAGAATCCAAAACAATAACCGCTTGCATTAGACTTGATCGACAAAATTTTGATGATTTGTCTCGGGTTGTTTTGAAATAAGTAGATCACCCAAAAGGACACGGATGATGTCTACGGAATCAAGGGTGCGCCAATGCACAATGTGCTTGGTTTCATTGACGGGACCAAGAACCGGATCAGCCGCCCGTCCCCGAGGCCCGGGCACCGCGAAAACTTGCAGAAGCAGGTGTACTCGGGGCACAAGCGAGTACACTGCCTGAACTACCAGTCGTCCCCGATGGACTGACCATCCACTTTTGGGGGCCATCGAGGGCAAGCAGCACGACATCACACTACTAAGGGAAAGCAAGCTTACAGAGTATTTGGAGGCTAGAGAGTCCGACTTTGGTGGCTTCTTGCTGTACGGCGATCCCGCATACGGGGTACAGCGCTTCATCGTATCAGGCTTTAAGAAAGCGCAATTGACAGCTAGAGAGCAAGCCTTAACGCAGCTATGAGATCCGTTCGCGAATCCGTCGGGTGGAAGTTTTCTATTCTCAAGACACAGTGGGCATCTATTGACTACTAGAAGAAGCTTAAACTGCGCCAGAGCCCAATTGGTAAGCTAGTAAATGTGTGCATGTTGCTCACAAATTGCCACTGCTGCTATTACGGTGGGAACCAGATCAGCAAGTATTTTCATTTGAAGCCGCCATCGCTAGCGGATTATCTAGATCTAAGTAGCTAGCTACTAAGCGACCAATACAAACTACTTGTTTTGGGGCTTACTAAAGTGTTTTTCCGAATACTTCAGCTAGTTTCAAAAAGAAAGCCCAGTCTTCTTCGCGCTCACGAGCACGTGTAGCGGCTTGTTGCTCCCGACGCTCCTTCTGCTCCTTGGCCTCCATCCTCTTCAGTTCCAACAGGAACTCCTTCATCTCGTCCTCTTTGTTCTTTTTCTTAGGAGGCTCGCCGGCTGACAGGCTCTCCATAGCTAGGCGGCGAGCCGTTAGTGATGCCTCCTCATCTGCATCGCGCTTGCGCTTGGCGGTGTCCTTCTCGGCAGCCACGGCTTCGATATGGTCATCGATGAGAGCAATAAGATCGTCCAGCAAGACGTCCTTCTCCGTTTCTTCTTCGTCGACGCCAGACGCAGCTAACGCAGCAGCATTCTGCTGACGTTTCTGCGTCACCAGCTTGTCGAAACGCGCTTGAGCCGTCTTGCCGCTCAGCTTGCCACGAGAGAAGTTTGCATCACTTACCAGCTGGGCGGCAAGAGCGCCCCATGCGGCCATTGTCTTGCCTCGCTCCTTTAGAAAAGGGCGATTGCTCAGCGCCTGGCGAAGAAGTGCGAGGTCCTCCTCCGCGGAGAAATTGCGCCGCTTCGGGCCCATGGTTGTTAGCTGGCTGATCTCGTTGTGAGGACAGTTTTCTTCAAAGCCACCAATTCTGTAACTCTAATTCTCTTCCGAGGGCTGGTGGAGCCCGTTTTTTGTTGCTTTGTGCGGGAATGGTAATAGAATCGCTGCTGCGAAATATCTCTATTAGTGAGCAAGAGCTTACCTACAACCGATTAACTAGTGAGGTTGGGGATTACACCACCGCTTAATTTATAAATTTATTTTATCTTATACCTATCTGTATATGACCAACATGTCGACTGAGTTAGGTTTCGGAAAGTATATTAATTCTTCGATTGAAGAAGTATACAAAATGATCCTGGCTATTGTCGCTGGCTAAAGAACCAGCATAACTTACTAAATGAAGCTATGCTGAAATTTCTTCAATCAAAGTTAACAGATGCCCTGGTGATGGTGATTATGTTATAAATTTTGGTATGTACATGAACAGAAAACTCAAAACCGTTCATGCGCTTGATCCTAATTATACTGACTGGCTTCGTAAAAATAAAGGTTACCGAGACGTGTCCACGTCTAGTACAAGAACTTAGAACATCTCCACCGCTGCTGAGTAAAACTAAAAGCAAATTGCCCTCAGATCCGTGCCTACATCGGCACAACCGTGCTAAAGACAGCGGTCATTGAGACTCGCTCGCGGTATTCGGGGATAGAGAGAGTCTCTATCCCGGCGGAGGCCTTCCCCCCTGCTGCAATGTCGGTCTTCTTCGGCGAGCTCATTGCGGAATGAGCTCGAGTATTCTTTCTCCCAACGTGGAGAATTGACGAATGGTCAATTTCCGGATTGACGTGCCGTGACTCGGCGCGTCTAACCTTGAGAGGGGGATGGTGTATCAGGGTTACACGCACACGTGGCTACAGTCACTTGTAACTCTAACAGACACGACCTCTCTTAGAGGTTCGAAAGACTTTCTCGATCTTGGTGTAGACACACCAAAGGCTACATACATTTACGATCACCACGACGGATGTGGAGGACTGGAAAACAGCCGAAGGTTACCTTTCCGCGCTCACGCCTACGCTGTACAGCACACTGCTTCCTTTCGCGCAGCATCAACGCCCACCACGTCGACCTCGGCGACCTGCCGTAAACCCAGCCCGCCAGCGGGGTCGCCGCAGACCTCCATGGACACCGCCCAATGAACGACTCAACGCGGCCCTGGACCAGTTGGAGAGCCTGCAGACAGCGCCATGTCCGTCGCAGCCCGCCATCAGGAAAGCTCGGCGCCGTGCAGGTTGCATCCGCTCGGCGATGCGACGGACGTCGCTGCGTAAGAAATTCCGAACGCATGAGAAGGCATGCATGCAGCAGATATTCGCTGGCGCGAAAGCTGACCCGGAGCATGCCGGTGGACCAGCGGCCCCGACGCGCTGCCCGATACCCAAGTCGACGGTGCACGAGTACTTCCAGGGTGTGAATACGCCGCAGCACCAGTTCAACTTCGACGACGAGGCCGGCGAGCCCTTCCGTCAATTGCTGGTGGCGTTGCCACCGGCCTCTGCGGCAATGGATGCGCTCACATCGGTGATTGTGGCCGATGAAGTGGAAGACGCAGTGCATCGCGCGCAGGCCCGCTCCAGCCCCGACATCGATGGCATCGGCCATGACATTTACAAGACCTTCCTGCCGGAACTGCTGCCTGCGCTGCACGCTGCCTTCGCCGTATGTTGGAAGCACGGCAAAGTGCCGGCTCTGTGGAAGGTTGGCACGGTGCAGCTAATCTACAAGAAGGGCGACCCAGAGAGCCCCGGCAACTGGAGACCTATATGTCTACAGGCGTGCATCTACAAACTCTACTCCGACATTCTGGCGAGACGCCTTGTGACGTGGCTCGACGCGAACAACCGGCTTACCGACGCGCAGAAGGGCGTTCGCAGCGTCAATGGATGCGCAGAGCACAACTTCTTGAGCACGGCGGTGCTCGACCAGACACGCCGACGACCCAAACCTCTCCACCTCGTTTGGTATGACGTAAAGAACGCCTTCGGCTCGGTGCCGTCCGAGCTCATCTGGCGGGTGCTGCTGCTGCTCGGAGCGGACGCCTCGTACGTCGGACGCCTGCGTGACATCTACAGGGGCGCCGTGTTCACAGTGGCGAACGCAGCGGATGGCGCGACGGACCCTATTGAGCTACGCATGGGCGTGTTTCAGTGGTGCCCCCTGTCGCCATATCTGTTCCTGGTCGGCATCATGCCGCTCGTGCGCGCGCTGCAGGCACTTGCACCGGAGATCGGTGTCCCGATGACCAAGGACCGGAAGCTGTCGGTGACAGCGTACGCTGACGACTTGAAGACGTACAGCACGTCGGCGGCGGGCATCAGCAAAGCACACGCAGTGGTCGTACGCTTCCTTGAATGGACTACTATGCAAGCCAACGCGTCCAAGTGCGTGTCGCTATCAGTGAAGACAGACGCTCATGGCCACCTCCGCAAGGACAAAGTGCGACTGACGCTGGACGGCGACGTGATCCCGTCGCTCACACTAGACGAGGGGTACACGTACCTTGGTGTAGGTAACGGCTTCAACCATGCCCGACACCGTGGGTCCATGGGCCCCGTGCTGCAAGAGATGAAACGCATGATGGCCGCAATCTTCCGCTCCCCACTCGCTCCATGGCAAAAGATCAAAGCTATCAAGACGTACGGGTACCCTAAGGCTGACTACTTGCTGCGCCACGTGCGCGCCTACAAGACACAACTCGAGAGCGTGGAATCGGCGCTGGCGCGCGGCCTGCGCCACCTACTTCGCCTCAACCAGTCCAGCACGACGGCACTATTCCACTCCCCGGTGGACAAGGGAGGCCTAGGCTTCGTGTCGCTAGTTGACCTGCGCGCCGTGCTGCAGGTTAGCCACGCGTGGCAAATGCTTTACTCGCCGGACCTGTTCGTGCGCGAGGTCGCGCAGGAACAGGTGTGGCAGGTGATCGAAAAGCGCTTCATTGTTGACCCTGACCACTGGCGCGGCCGCGTACCGGACGCCATCCAGCTCTACCTGAACGGCGAGCTTGGATCGTCACCATTTGCGCGTCAAAAGCGCAAGTCCGGCGACATCGGTTCGCTTTGGGCTGACGTCAAGGACCGCCTCGCCGCACGCGGACTCAAGCTGACGACGGAGTCGGTGCGGACAGAGGGCGGAATGGAGGTTGATATGATGTTGCAAATGAAGCTGCCGCACCGCCCGCAGCCGCTCACCCACAAAGACATCACGCACCAGCTCCGCCAGCACGTCAAGCTAACGGAGCTCGCGCGATGGAAGTCACTCGAAACGCAGAGCGACGTGGTGCGCGCGATCAGCGGCGCTGGCAGCGCTTTTGTGGCACGCGGCGGCGGCCTCAGCGATGCTGAATACCGCTTTGCACTGTCGGCGCGCATCGATTTGGCGCCGACGCGCTCGGTGCTCCGTCGCTGGAATGAGCGCGGCGGCGTGCAGTGCCGCCACCCTCAGTGTACCAGCGACGAAACGCGGCCTCATGTTCTGCAGCATTGTCCGGGGAATGCACGTGCCATCGACGGCCGCCACGACCGTGTGCTTGCAATGATTAAGGCCGCAATCGACCCCGTCGTATCGAAGCGTGGCAGCCGACTAGCGGCGCGATTCGACTCGCATTTTGAGGGCCTACCTGGTCGGGCGCTCCGCCCCGACATCCAGCTTTTCGACGCGGCTACGAGGACTGTGTCCATATCCGACCTTGCCGTCGCCTTTGAAGCGCAGAAGACCGACGACCCCACCGTGGGCAACATGCGCTCTCGCCACGACGAGAAGGTGGCCAAGTACCAGCGGGCGAGGAGTACCTGGAGACTCTTGGGTGGCGAGTCCACGTATCAGCCTTGGTGTACGGAGCACTAGGTGCGGTGATGCCCTCGAACTACAAGGTGCTGACCGAGCACCTCCGTCTCACCAAGCGTGGGGCCGCCCAGCTCAGCCGACGCATCTCGGTGACCTGTGTGCAGGCCAGCCGCCGCATCTGGCGGATGCACGCTGGCGAGATCAATTGCATTGACACCGCTCGACACCCAACTACAACCTCGGCGGCGACATCGACAACACCGTCGGCGGGCCCAGTGCCCGTGACTCCTACGCTGCCAACGACGACACCAACCAGCGGACCACGACGTTCATTTACAAGATGGGGCCCGCGCCTCCACCCGGCCCGGCCAGCACCAGCAACTCTACGAGCGACTCACCGCCGCCCACCACGTACTCGTGATCGCGGGCGGCAACAATCTCAACGCCTCCATGGCAACCACGCCACGGACCACAGAAACTAGTGAACCTGGGCCCCTCCCGGTCCCAATGGTACTCTCCAGCAAGGACATCGCCGACTTCAGCCCAATGTAGCCAGGTATCCATTAGTGTAGCATTCCACAGACACAGCCAGCAGGATACATGCTTCCCAGGGTGACTACCGATTGGCCAAGAAATGCATGTATGAAAAATGAGAGCGTTGACATGAGCCGGAGCAGGCCCCTTGCACTCCGGTGCTGTAAGGGTTCAGGAATGCTCTTTTGAGTAATTCCACAGTAGAATTTTTGTCAGCGGGGGTGAGCGCGTGCGCCGCCCCCACCCTCCTCTTCCAAGCAACTACACTTCTTCGGAGCCTACGCTTCTCGCTTCGTGTACCTACTTCTACTGCGTGTCTGCTGCGTGCGGGTTGCGCGTGTCGATGGCGATCTTCTCGCTGTTCGCGCGCTGTTCAGTGGTTCGCAGCCGCCGGCGTCGCCGGTGAGCAGCATAGCGTCGAGCGCGGTGACGGCGCGTGAAGAGGACGACGCCGTGAGCGTCGAGAGCGACTTCTTCAGCGACGCGGCCAGCGACTTCGAGGGCGCGGGCGAGGGCGCCGCCGCCGTGGACTGGCTGCCCGTGCTCGACGAGACAGCACCTCCAACTACAGCCGCCCATGCTGATCAAGCTGCTGCCGACCAAGTTGCCGCCGGCGGTCAAGATGCTGACGCGCGGACCCACGATGCTACCGACCAAGCTGGCGATGACCGTGCTACTACTGCTGGAGGTGGCCGTGCTGCTGCCTCCACGCTCGCCGCGCCCATGCCCGGCAACGACCAGACGAGCGAGCCCCAGAGCTCACGTCTGCTCGGTGCCGCCGCTGTCAGTGGCAACTCCGAAACAGCTCCTGCTGCCGATGATGCCCCGCCGCTGGCCACGCTCTCGGTCTTCGCGCACAACGCGACCTCGTTCAGGTGCATCGCGTGCGCCTTTGCAGCGCCGCAGATTGCAGACCTCCACGCTCACCGCTGCCGGCAGCACCGCGGCACCACATTCACGGACGTGTTCCATGGCGGATGCGCCTGTGCCGCGTCGTTCGCCCAGCGGGCAGCGGCAACGAGACACAGCCTCCGCTGCGGAACTGCGTCAAGCGCTCTTGGCGCCGCGCGCCCGACGCAGCAACCAGCACCTGCAGACACAGAGGCGGCTGGAGGAGGGCCCACGGTGACACGCCGTAATCCTCCCCCAGACTCAGCCATCACTAACACTTCTCCCTCTCGGTCGTGGCGTGCGCATCGTTCTCGTCTTTGTGTCCTTTCTCGCGCCACAGGTTTCCTGACGACGAATGCATCGCTGACCGAGGCAACTGCGCCGCTGCGGGCTTGTTTAGATCTCTGCCTCCCGCTCAGCGATTGGAACCGCTCACTGCAAGCCTTAACCTCAGTCATTTGACAGATGCGCACGTTTGTACCCATCAATGTCTTCAAGCTGTACGATGTCCACCAGCCCGCGGACATCCCATATCGACGTTATGACTGACGTGTTTTTTTTCACTCTGGGATCCGCTCTGTTGACAGCAAGTCCATTGAACAACTCATGTTATGTACAAAGTGAGCTAAACATGTACAACTAAATGTCGCATACATCTCGAACGCCTAACATAGCACGCCCTAAAAGTCCTATTGGGTCAATACCAAAACCATATGATTAAATGCATAATTTCACAGAGAAGAGAAGCCCAGTGGGTCAATATATATATATAAAATGGTGGGGGGGATCGCACGCGGTCAGCCCCACTGGCAAAAACGCTACTGCGGAATTACTTAGAGCATTCCTGGCCTCTAAATGCACCGAATTGCGAGGGGCCTGCTCCGGCTCATGTTAACGCCCTCATTATTTTATCGATGTATCTTGGCAAATCGGTAATCATACTGGGTAAGCATGTCTCCTGCTGGATTGTGGCTGTAAAATGCTACACTAATGGGTCCCTGAATACATAGGACTGAAGTCGGTATCGTTGCTGGAGGGTGCTGTTGGGGCCGGAAGGGGTTCAGGTTCACTAGTTCCTGTGGGCGGATGCCATGATGATGGTGGTGCCACCTACGATCGCGAGAAGAAGGACAGCGGTGAGGCGATCGTAGTGTCGCTGGCCTGGTCGGACCAGATGAAGGTGTGGGCCCCATGTTGTAAGTGAACATCGTGATTTGCTGGTTGTCGCGGGTGACGGGAGCTTCGCGTCTGGGGAAATAAGTTATCACCGATGACATGCAACCAGACGACTTGATCGTCTCTCGAGGCGACCTGCCACAATGGTGAAGTGGAAAATCACAAGCATGTTGGTGGAGTAAAACCAACCCGGAGCGTTGTTTCGGGAGGTTACACAGGTTGACGAATAGTTATATGGACAATAACTAGACCAAAAACCTGGCCGATAACCCGATTGGATAGCTGAACGGTAATAACAGATAGTATCTGTTGTAGTTACACTTAGACGAACCTACATGTACAACAGAGAAGGAAACTTACAGTTCAAGAGCACCATACGGTTCAAGAACATGTTTACTCTCGACAGCCACAAGACAGCGCCTTTGCACAATCAGTTCCTGATCGAGCCGTCGAGCCCGCTGCCGCAGTGGCGCCGTTTCTCGCGGTCGCCGAACACCACTGTGTCCAACTAATACATTGTCCAACTCATGCAAGCTCAGCTAGACAAACCTGCCGCGCAAATGGCAGGGGTACGAGGCGCATGGGGGAAATCCCTCAAGAAGTACATCACCAAGCGCAGGGACCCCCTCCCCCCAGCCTACCAAGGCAAATTTTATGAAGACCTTGACTTCTGTCGTTTTGACACAGAAGAGTACTACGGTCTCCCGCAAGACCTGCCGACCGCCACCTTTGTGCCTATCCTCGCGGGCAACCTGAAGCTAACGGCTATGAATGGGTACAGAGACTTTAGCCAGCACGACCTGGGCGCCCGGCATTTCCCAAACGTGAGGTCTCTTAAAGACTAAGATCCGGAAGTGCTTTCGCTCTCGTGACTTTGAGTATGACCTCCAGCCGCGTCTATGCAACCTACGCCAACACGGCTTCTACCACGGCTACCTGTCCGAGTCCCAGAATCTGCTATTCCAGTGTATGGAGCCAATCAGCCCGGTCGAGCAGCGGTTTTACTTCCAACAAGGTCTGCGGAGCAACATCTACCGCTCGATCAATGAGAAGCGCTCGAAGAAGCTATCGACTGGGCTCCCATTTTGAGCACGCACACTTCGCGAGCACGGGCAACGACGACGTTGACTGCCCTTGCGACTAAATCGGCCACCTGCCACTGGTGCAAGGAGGTTAGCCACATTGCACCTGTCTTGCTCGGAAGCAACGTAAATCCGCTTTAACCCCTCCAGGCCGAGCAATAATAATAGTTTAACTGCATATAAATGTATATTTAGTACCGTTTTGTATACAACGGAATGTGGAAAAGAAGGTTTCTAGGTAGAGCCGGTCGTTAATGCGTATTGGACAAGTCTAAACATACACAAAACTGCATATTCGAAATTGAATACTCAGATTAAGCCTGCATAATTCAACGTAGTCTGACGTGAGTAAAACAAACCTCAATACAGACCCGAGACAAGAGCGGCTCTTAAAGCCCCACCCCCACAAAAATTAAGACAAAATCTATGGAGTAAATAGGGGTGTCACTCCCAGAAACTTCCACAATCAGTTGATTTAGCTCCCTCGACGTAATTACTTAAAGGCTACCAGTTTGTTGGACGCCTCTTGCTGCTGCTAGCCGGTTCAATAGGTGTTAGCCGCGCGACAGGCGTCCCTGGTGTTGATGCCTTTCACTGCGTCGGCGGGTCGGCGCATTCGAATTCTTCTCCCTAGGAACGAGCGTGTCGTGGTTCCACTCACGGCGCCAAACATCCCTGAAAGTCATCGCGACACCGCGCATCTGGCGGCGTAGTTTCAGACTCAGGAATATGCTGACTGCACTCACCACAAATGTATGATGTAGTGGCAGCCCTTTTGTCGTCGGTGCATAGCAGCGAGCAAACCTTGAGGGCGGGTTGGTGGCGCTTCGATTGCGTTGGCTTGTGTCGCCATTCGTCGAGTTATTGCGGGGCGTGTGTCGGCTGGGTGGACCGTCGTGGTGGCTGTTCAGCCGCGTCTCTCGCGGTAGGTTCCCGCACGCCGAAAGTGTTAGCATCGTGGCCCGAAGCTGACAGATCTGTAACTTAATAATGTACTTGAGAGTCACGGGTCGAGATCCTTTGTTCTTGTGATAAGCCATGTGCACGATATAACTGTTCCCAAATGCCAGGCCAATAAGACCAACTACAAGTGAGTTGTAATATTTTTGAATCGGACAGCACGCTGGATGAGCTGGTCGTGGACATCCACACCTTCCATGAAGGCGTGGTAGTCCTACACAACTCGAGGATAAGGCACCTCTTGCTGGATTGCGCGGTCTTGCCGAACCACACGGTTCAGTTCCAGGCTCCACCCAGTGCAGTAGTATATAGTGGAACACTACGAGGTTAGTTTTTTTACGAAATTGGCAATATCGAGATATTTTGTAGAAACTCCACATGCGCTGAATTTCAAGCGCCACAAAGTTGTCCAAACCAGGTTTAACACCTCTACAAGAACCGCAAAAATCCGGGTAAGTAGCAAGGTAACTACAGTCGTGCACCTCGTTTTCGGCGGGGTGGACCATATAAGTACCTCGAATTCACCAATTCTCAGGAGGTGTATCGTCTGTAGTAAATACAAATTCAATGATACACGTTGTCTATGTACGCAAATCCGAATACATTATCCCCGGTTATAAATTTATACCGGGGCCGAAAACGAGGTGCACGACTGTACCTTCATCAACGTTCGCAAAATCAACCCCGAGGCAGCTACCTTTACAAAATAAAACCCCGGTGTACCTACTTTCACCAACATTGACCCACATAAAACATATGTTTATGATTTTGTAACGGGGTTACACGCGAGTTACGCGAAGGGTTACGAAGTGGGTACACACTGTCCCACCTAAATCAGTAGGAGAATCAGTACATGGCTTCAGAGCCACTGATTATGCATATGACTAGAGTTCACCATGCTAGATAGTGAACCGGATACATTTACACCGTCGGCGGCTTTGCCGCAGTAAAGGGAAATACATTCAGTTTGAGATTCACACAGTTAAGAGTTAAGGGTTGACTCTTGGAGTCCGTAAGGTGTACGGACTGGTACGTTCTGGTATTAGAACGGGCTATAGCTACGGCAGCCCCGCTGCAGATTTAGTGAAGCTCACTAAGAGCATATCCACCGGTCGTGAGTAAGACTAAATTTTACCCCTTTTCTGTCAATATTTAATTTTAGTTTTAGTTTTGTACAGCTCCACGTTTGAGTAAATGCTGAGCAAATTGCTCCATTTTTTACGCAGATCAAATTTTTGCACAAGTTTGCCAACGGAGGAGGCTTTGAGTAAAAGGTTGAGTAAATGTCGACCAGCCAGTAGTAGAGCCAAGTCAAGCGTTCTAAGCAGCGCAAGCGTCACAGACCGCAGTGTCGCCCTTGCTACGTCATCCGTGGGTCTTCCTCAACGTGCTGCCGGGCCCGTTTTCATCTTTATAGGGCTATACAGCTAGGACTCAGTGCTGGCGCCGAACCAAGAGCTTTACACGCGCTCGCTGCGTCCGTCGCACGCAATTCCATGTCACCATCTTGAGTTGGAGTCGACGCTGCCGGAGGGTGCAGACGTCGGCGCTTGTTGCCACTCAGCGGCGCAGTTGCCTCGGTCGGCGAGGCATTCGTCGTCAGGAAACCTGTGGCGCGAGGAAGCACACAAAGACGAGAACGATGCGCACGCCACGGCCGAGAGGGACAAGTGTTAGTGATGGCTGAGTCTGGGGGAGGATTACGGCATGTCACCGTGGGCCCTCCTCCAGCCGCCTCTGTGTCTGCAGGTGCTGGTTGCTGCGTCGGGCGCGCGGCGCCCAGAGCGCTTGGCGCAGTTCCGCAGCGGAGGCTGTGTCTCGTTGCCGCTGCCCGCTGGGCGAACGACGCGGCACAGGCGCATCCGCCATGGAACACGTCCGTGAATGTGGTGCCGCGGTGCTGCCGGCAGCTGTGAGCGTGGAGGTCTGCAATCTGCGGCGCTGCAAAGGCGCACGCGATGCACCTGAACGAGGTCGCGTTGTGCGCGAAGACCGAGAGCGTGGCCAGCGGCGGGGCATCATCGGCAGCAGGAGCTGTTTCGGAGTTGCCACTGACAGCGGCGGCACCGAGCAGGCGTGAGCTCTGGGGCTCGCTCGTCTGGTCGTTGCCGGGCATGGGCACGGCGAGCGTGGAGGCAGCAGCACGGTCATCGGCAGCTTGGTGCGCGTCAGCATCTTGACCGCCGGCGGCAACTTGGTCGGCAGCAGCTTGATCAGCATGGGCGGCTGTAGTTGGAGGTGCTGCCTCGTCGAGCACGGGCAGCCAGTCCACGGCGGCGGCGCCCTCGTCCACGCTCACTAAGGCGCTGGCCGCGTCGCTGAAGAAGTCGCTCTCGACGCTCACGGCGTCGTCCTCTTCACGCGCCGTCACCGCGCTCGACGCTATGCTGCTCACCGGCGACGCCGGCGGCTGCGAACCACTGAACAGCGCGCGAACAGCGAGAAGATCGCCATCGACACGCGCAACCCGCACGCAGCAGACACGCAGTAGAAGTAGGTACACGAAGCGAGAAGCGTAGGCTCCGAAGAAGTGTAGTTGCTTGGAAGAGGAGGGTGGGGGCGGCGCACGCGCTCACCCCCGCTGACAAAAATTCTACTGTGGAATTACTCAAAAGAGCATTCCTGAACCCTTACAGCACCGGAGTGCAAGGGGCCTGCTCCGGCTCATGTCAACGCCCTCATTGAGCAGCGTCAAGCACCAGTCAGGTAAGTATGAAATGGATTCAGAAGCCAACCCGTTATACTATATAGATATTGAACCCTTACGTACATATTAGAATAGCGACCAATGTATAGGTGGTAAGTTTTTGATGTGTTGCACACAATGGCAAGTAGTTAACAGTCGCAAAAAGTCTGTCTTAGCGGATGATGCTCAGTCTTGCAAAACTTCTACTTTAAACCAAGTTTAGGTATGTTTTCTATAGATTTGTGTATTGTCTAAAATAGTGGATGTAGGGCACACTACAAGAGTCTATTCGAATAAATTTCTGTCTCGGAACAAATCACAGCTCCGCATCATGGCGTAGGCTTGTAAGGATTGTGAAAACACATTCAGCCTCCTAAAGATATATAATTTGAAAGGATTTGTCCATCGGTTGTGTGACTATTTACTTCTTCTGGAGGTCGACAGCATGCGCGACGCTATCAAACCCCAGGTTTTTCATGATAGCGAAATCAACACAAACGACTAGAACATGTCGACTGGGCTCCAGGCTTGAATAATTTCGAGTGACCGCACTAACATTTAGCGAGCTTGTCAATTATATATGGATTAAAATGCGTATCACTAAGTACTGGCTTGGGGCCGATCACCGACGAACAGCACAAACGAAGTCATCATGCGGCAACCTACCTACCTCGTTTGGCGGCCAAAGCAGCACAGAACCTGAGAAGCGCCACATACCAACCACGCTTCCACGAACGAATTCGCGTCCAAGTCGATTTAGCCTCCATCCGCCCAAATGTCCCCGCGCCGAAAGATATTCAAGCTTTCTGGGGCACATTTGCGTGGGCCGACAACCCCTGGATACCGGACAGCAATGCACCATCACTCCAGCGCAGCAAATACGACCGAATCAAGGTGACATCAATTGCAAATTTAAGTATCGTCAGAGCTTCTGAAGATGTTTATGAGGTGAGAGTGCCCACTGCGGATGGGTTCCCGGCCGGTCACACCATCGCAAAGCTGGAGCGGTGGCTCATAGCCATTCTACTCAGTTCACCCAGGCTCGACATCGGTCAACAGCTAGGACGACCGCCCGCTCTGGTGCTCAGACGGCCTCCTTCACTCAGTACCAGCTATACATGGTCGGTCGAGGTGGAAGGTTCTACTGTACGCGGAATCTCCAACAACGGATCGGCAACTCTCATGCTGGAGCAGAAGCCGCGGCATTGAGTGGCAAATCAAGTCTCACGACGAAGCAAGCGCAGATGCTAGCGCGCTCGAAAAGCACACAGGAGGACTTGTGTTCAAGGCAAACCCACAGATCCACGGATATCCGTGGCAAGTACCGGACTCGATGAGGAATCGCAGAATCCTTCACGTGCTAAAACAACAGCCCAAGAAGCGACTCAGGAAAGCAGCAAACCCGAACCTGGGTCAACTGCTGACGAAATGGGCGGAGCGGAGCCGATGACTGGATTCGAGGTCACCAAAGGCAACTACCAAAGCATATTTGTGCGCACGGCAATTTGCTGACGAACTTCCAAGTGTGGGTCACCTACCGACTGGCGACTCATCAGCTGAATCTGTTCTACGAAGGTAAAGGTGATTATCAGGGATGCCCTATGGACGTGGCGTGTGCAGAGATTCACATTACGAGCACGCATATCACTTGGGCCTGTATTCGAGTACAGCAATTCTGGCGGCGCTGTCTCGAGCACTGGCTGGGTCATGAAGTCTCACCGGACTGTCTCGAAGGACACAAAAGCTACTTCGCGGCTCGGACAGCACCGAACGGCTATGGCGCAGGATCTCTCAACGCTACGGGCAATGGAGACCAGAGAACGGGGAGTCTCTCCGCCAAATCTGGTGGGTACTCTGCAGCGTCGGGTTTGCGTTGCTCTGGCAAATACGGAATCAGGTGGTACACGAGGGACAAACGTGGCTGCCAGCTCAGCAACTCGACTAAATGTGGTTGACGTGCATGCGCCAGCTCAACGCAATAGCGCGTCGGAAGCGCCTTCGAGCGCCAACGAAGATACAAGGAATGCAGTTTCAACTAAGCCTCGACTGTTTTGCAGACATAGGCCTAGAAGCGAATCCGATGGATTCCCTTCCGCAGCCTGCGGCGTGGATTAAACAGACAGAGCCCACTCTGATCACTAGACTTAGAACATACCAGGCAGCTATTAACTAAGGTTCAATAGACTACCTTCTTCTTTCTCGCGTATCACTAAATTCAGCCGGAGATTTTGCGAAATAGTTCATATTTATTCCGTTTTTCTGGCATGTGCTGATGCACGTCAGTTGCACTGAAGGTGACTGAGTTAGAGTCGAAAATACCACTGTTTATAATATTTATGTCAAAATATTACAATAATTCAAGTGCCAGAATTATCCAGGAAATAGCACTGATATCTAAGTTGCACAGTAATAACTCGCGAATATTTTACGTTTTCAGCCGGTGGTCTAATGGGCGTTAATTATTCACGTTGTTCTATTGGTTCGATAAATACAGTTGTTCAGTAGACTTCTGCTTTAATAAAGAACACCTGATGCATACAAAATTGTGAAAGGTAATGAAATATTACGGTAACGTTAAATTCAACAGTGAAACGTTAAATTCAACAGTGAACGCATACAATATCCAGGATTATAGGTTTTCTAGTGGTATTCATTGAAGCAGATGTCTATACTTATTTGTGGAGATTGTGTTCTTATCAAGGTATTATGGTTCTATCTTGATCGCCCGCGTCCCTTGTAGCATACTTCCATTAAATGTAACAACTCGTCATTAGGCCAAAGAGACGATGACCGCAGCTATATAATGCTATCCAAAGCAAGGCCATTCGTCAACCATAATGCTGTAGCCAAGTTGAATCACTTCAGCGATGGCCTACTCGACAGCCTTGGCCGTGGTCGCGATATAAATTTGCAGCGTCTTCGAGGGGATGACGTGACCTTGAGTGAGTGAGTGAGTGAGTGAGTGAGTGAGTGAGTGAGTGAGTGAGTGAGTGGGTGGTCCATCTCGGACAACACACCGATTTACACGTAGGCAACTTTGTCACTCATTAAGCGCAGGCTCACGCATCCCTTTGGGCTACAGACAGCGATGAAAAAGCCCCGTAACGAAAAAATCAACCTGGCCCTACACATCACAAGATACTGCTCAAAACCACATCCTATTTTAGTATAGTTGATAAATCACGTATGTGATTCTAGCCAATAGTAGAGTGAATGCATCAAATATTATTCAACTATATTGTAAATACATTGACTGGTTTGACGGCGCGATTCTGGTGTCAAACTAGTGCCACCAAACAACACAACGCACTCACTTTTCAAAGACACTCCGATGTTCAGCACCCCGCAACACCCCTAGCAGCGCACCTACACGATCGAAGAGAAGTGATATGCTCTCAGGCTAGCAGTCGACGTCCATGGCAAGCAAGTTGCCGACGCTTTGTAGTGCGTTACTGGTATGCTTAACAAGTTTAACGTTTTGTACAAACCGACTGTCGTAAAGACTTTTGCAGCATCACTGGATGCGATAGTCCTGATGGTATGGTGGAATTGCAGATTTTCTGGAATCCCTCCGAGCTGCAGCCGTGACTGGTTGGCTGAGAACTCAATCTGGGAAACGATGACACGTGGCTGAATGTTGACGATGGATCCTAGCTGGACTAGTGACCAAGCTGTACAAGGTTTGGTGGCCCCGGATGAAGATGCCCCCGAGGAGGACCCGGCTGGAACCAAGTACCGGACGAGAGGCAAAGCCCAAGGTAGTGTTAACCCCTTAGTTACTACGCTCAACATAAGCGGTGTATACCCTAATTCCCTCTTGTCGCAGCGTTTATGCTATGTTGGAACGCTCAACATAAGCAGAAATTTCACTTGGGGTTTGTATGGATCCTTTTTTGTTATCCTGGTATACAAAAAGTAAGATATTTTCTGTGTGTAAAATGGGCACATGTACAGGGCTAGGTTTGCCTTTGGTGTGGGCTTTTTCCAAAGTGCAAGAGAAAGGATACTGCCACCCATCAAATTGGTGGCCGACGGCCACTGATTCCCCTCATTCAAGAAAACGACCGCCAGACGAACAATGGTCGCCCCCGTCGGGAAGACACCACGCCACACGCTCACGCCGGCGGAGAAGAAGAAGTGCCTGGAGGCACTGCGGCGGGAGCGACGACTACGCCGCGCGGAAGAGAAGGAGGCGAGGGCACGAGCTGCGGCGGTAGCACCCCCGAAGACGATGGCTGCAGCGGCTGCGAATGCGAACCTCGCATCTGCAGAGGCGAAGCAGGCCGTGGCGGAGGCGACGACGGCAGTTGCGGAGGCAATCCCCGGCGCGGACGAAGAGGGGGCAGCCCCAGCAGAGCCGAAGGCGACGGGCAAGACGCGGAAGGCGCCAACTCGGAAGAAGGTGCCTGACCAGACGCTAGCTATGTGGAGGAGCGGGCCAGCGTCGGCCGCGACCGCCGCACGCGCTCAAGATGCCGCACCAGCAGCAGTCGCATCGGAGGTTGCAGGCGCAATGGCCAGCATTGTGGCGACGATTGTGGAGGAGGCGACACCGGTGGACGGAGCGACGCCCCGTGTGGCACCTGACTCCGTGACGAGCAGCACTCGGCCAGGCACGAAGCCATCCAGCTCCGGCAAGCGCAAGCGCGTTGAGACAACGGAATCGAGGAAGCGCCGACGCAGGATCCTCGATGAAGACAGCGCAGATGATGAAGGAGACAATGATGAAGAGGTACGCTATGCTGGACGAAGGCAACATAATGTGCTGGATATTGTCGTTTATTCAACACATCGCTGACATAAGCTTACTGTTTATTTGATTCTAGGTGGATTCAAGTGAGGAGGCGGGTGTCAGTGCAGACGCTGCCGGTGTGGGCGCGCGTGTTGATGTTTCACTGGATTGCGTTGTCGATGGTGACCCCAATTTGATGGACGACGGGGCCGCCGCTTGTACAGGCATCAACTCGGACGAAAATCCCGACGTGCGCGAGGAACCGGAGGACAAAGAAGACGCAGAGGACGACGACAGCTGGGACGGCGACTGGGATATCAGCCAACTGACTGACGAAGAATCGGAGGAGGAGCGGGAGGAGCTTCCTGAGTCTGTGTGTTCGTCTGCCGCGATGGACACCAAGTACATCACGGCGATGAGAAATATCGGGTGGGAATATGGTAAGTTGGACTCACTCAACATAAGTGAGCGGCCGTGTATTTGTATCCAACATATTTACTAGCATATTTTTTGGTACTATTTACAGGTGAATCGAAGTTTGGACCAGACCCCACGTATGCCGACCTTTACGATGGCCCATACGGCCCAACCCCCAGCGTTCTTGAAGTTGCCGAAGATCCATTGGCGCTCCTGTTCTACTTCATGCCGCCCAAGCTCTGCGCTCAGATTGCAGTGGAGAGCAACACGCACCACCGTCCATTCCCGGGCGCGCGAGGGCGATCCGAAAGCAGCAGCGCAAGAGTGGTGGCGAAGTTAAAGACCTCGGCGACATTCGGCGTCGCCTCGCTGGTGTCAAGGACATTGAAGCCTATGAGGTGCTGCAGGTGATGGGCCTGCTCATTGCCAGGGTGCTGGCACCGATTCGCAAGGGCATTGCAGCGCATTGGTCAGTGGCGAAGGTGGGCACCATGCCTGCGAATCGCTGTAGCCTGTTCATGAGCAAGAACCGCTTCTTCCACATAATGGTCTACATGCACTTGTCCAACAACAAGTCTCCGAAGGCTAAGACCGACAGAGCCTGGAAGATCCGTCCAGTCGTCGACGTGCTACAACGGACCTTCGCCTGCGGTTACCGTGTCCCTCCCATCATCAGCTTCGACGAAGCAACGCTGCCGTCGCGTTCCCGATACAACCCAACTCGGCAGTTCAACAAGGACAAGCCCCACAAGTGGGGACGAAGGTGTTCGTCGCTGCGTGTACCAAGACAGCTTACTGCATGAGGTGAGAAGACCCGTGGTGTAATGGGCCTACTTTAGCTTACACGTGTGCGCGTGTATGTGAGGAAGCGTAGCTTAGTTTAAATTAGAGTTAATTATACTCGGGCCTCCGAGTATAGATTAATCTAAATAAACGATCCAAATAATGTTTTTGGGTTAAAATGAGAACTGCTATTTTTGTTTTATGTTTCTGACTTCCTCTAAATGTAATATTCTAAGATAGGAATCTGCCAACGGCTGGTTGGCAGAACTCCAATGCTACGTATGTCGCTCATTGGCTAAGAGATGCTGCTCTCAGCCAATAGGAATCCTAAGTCTCTATGGACCACCCGTCGTGGTGGTCGTAAATGTATGTAGCCTTTGGTGTGTTTACACCAAGGTCGAGAAAGTCTTTCGAACCTCTGACAGACGTCGTATCTGTTAGAGTTACAAGTGACTGTAGCCACTTGTGCGTGTAACCCTGTTACACCATCCCCCCTCAAGGTTAGACGCGCCGAGTCACGGCACGTCAATCAGGAAATTGACCATTCGTCAATTCTTCACGTTGGGAGAAAGAAAACTCGAGCTCATTCCGCAATGAGCTCGCTGCAGAAGAAGACCGCCGCCACAACAGAGGGTAACCTCTCTGTTGCTCAGTACCATGAGCGCCAGCAGGCAAAGCGCGATGCGCTCGCTGTAAAGGCCGCGTCGGGGACAACCCAGTCGGAGATTGTCCTCGAAGGTTCCTCTGTAGTCAACGACGCCGTTGACTACGGGGATGACGACGTGGAGATGGAAGAGGGCGAGGCCTCTTCCAACAAGCGCAAGGAGTCTATCGACAGCTATAGTCTCGACCCGCATGCCGGGTCGAGACGCCCTCGTGAAGGAGACGATTCGGACGCTTCAAGCTCGAAGCGTTCGCGCGGCGAGGGCGACACTCTGCTCTCCGCTGCTGGGGCTTTAAGCTCCCCGCGTGAGGTGGCGTCTTCAAGTTCTCCGCGCGCTGCTCAGGCAGCGCGCGATCCGTGGATGCCGGCTGCGTCAGAGGTCGCAGACCGTGTGGGCAACACCGTGCCTCCAAATGAAATCCCGCTGTACGTATGCAGCGGGATCCACGATGATGCTGTGGCGGAGGAGCAGCACTTTGATCCGTTAACGAATCAAAGGCGCGATTACTATATCGGACTCTTTCACGAACTCCGATACTTCTCCAGCAAGAAGACCTCTTCTCGCAGCAAAGTGCCTGAGTGGCAGGCACTTTGTCAAAGTTGGTATGCTTTTGTTGAGAATTTCAACAAGAAACCGGCTGCTTACCGCGAGCGGGTTAAGCATGCCCGTGAACGCTTCGAGACATTCTCGACGCGCGGGAGGTTGGAGCAGCTCCACAGATCCTCTGTGGACGCTGGTATTCCATGCGCTGTGCCCGAAGGCCAACAGTGCACGTTGTGTCTTCCGGGTGCGGTGCACTTGAGCGACCGCGACCTAAACGGGTACACGACGATTCGTGTACCTGAGAGTCTCAAGGATCTCCGTGTCAAGTTCCTCGCACGTGAGGAACGCGACGATCGTGGGACCTCGGGCGCTGTAGGTGACCACAGCGCTCGCACTACCTTCGCGTCGGCAGTGCGTGGTGAGCTTCGTACTCCCTCACCATTTCCGGAACGTCCTGCAGCAGGACGTCCCGTGGCTCCCATGTATCTTGGTGGGGCGGAAACCCTCTCCAACGAATACGATAACGAACCGGCTGCCGGTTCGTTTTCGGGATACTATGGTTCACAATACGCTCCACAATCCAGCGTATTGAGCCGCGGGCGTCGCGGATCGGAGGCGGCGGTGGTGGGAACACGCCCCGGGTATGGTCAACCTGGGGTTGACCTTGGCCCGACGCTCGAGGAGCGGGTCGCTGCTGTGGAGCAGCTTCAGAGCCGGGAGTTCGCCGCTCTGAAGCAGGAGATGGCGACCCTGAGAGCTCAAGTTGCTCAGGCCTCGCAGACCGCGTCGGACATCTCTGTCGACGTGGGAGGTCGCGTCGCACGCTTGGCCCAGCGCGTTCACGCGCTGGAGCAGAGGTTCGCTCCCGCTGGGGCTTCCGCTTCGGGCCAGCCGAGCTAGGTGGCTCGTGCTGCTGATATGGCTTCAGCCGCCCGACGTAAAAGGTCGGATGGAGGCGCATGCTAGATGGAATATCTAGCGTGTAGGCGTTGCCATGCCGTACCAACACCGTGAACGGCCCGATGAAGCGCGGAGCGAGCTTGCTCGCCCCGAAGTCGGAAACTGCATGTTTAGGCAGGTTTTGAGTAGCTAGCAAAACCAATGAATCCTTCTTGAATTCATTTGTGTTACCCCTGCCAACATTGTCTGCGTTCAGCTTCTGTCGGTCGACCGAAGCTGCAATAGCGTCTTGGACAAACCGAATGACGGCTTGTCTGCGCTGCACGAAGTTGATTACGTCCGAGCCGAACTCGTTCAGCTCGTTTCCAGCAGTAGGCCCGGCCTCTGCGTTCGTCTTCGTGGTGTCTGGGCCCTACACAGACCCGTTCTTCTTCTTCTTCTTCTTCTTCTTCTTCTTCTTGTCAGTGTATGTGCCCCGCACAGACACGTTCTTCGTGCGCTTGTCGGCGTCTGTGTCCTGCACAGACGCGCGGTTCGTGGCTTTACTTCGTGTCGTTGCGGCTGACACTGTGCAAGTGTCAGCGGCATTCTGCGGCTGCTGCGTTGCTGTCGGAGATCCTCCCCCACTTAAGGAAGGAGCCACCATCCCGAGGAGACTCGGGAGGCGTGGGTGCCTGATGGCGTTCATGTAGAACGGTGTATGCCCGGTCGAGGCATGCACCGAGTTGTTGATGGCGAACTCCGCCATCGGCAGGCACTCGCTCCAGTGTTGGAACGAGTGAGCGTAGCTCTTAAGCACGTCTACGAGCACGCGGTTCACGCGCTCGGTCTGCCCGTCCGTCTGCGGATGGTCCGCAGTCGACATCGAAAGTTGACTCCCAAGAAGTGTAAACACTTCTTGCCAAAGGTGTGCAGTGAAGCGCTGGTCTCGATCCGACACAATGTCGATCGGCATGCCATGGTGTTTGAACACCATGTCAACGAACAGACGCGCCGTCTGTTTCGCAGTCACTTCAGCGGGTACTGCAGCAAGATGTACCATCTTGCTGAAGCGGTTAACAAAGACCACAACGCCCGTGTTCCCCTGGCGGTCCGGGGGAAGACCGAACACGAAGTCCAAAGACATGGACTGCCAACACTCCCGTGGAGTTGGTAGTGACTGCAAGGGAACCTGCGCGAAAGGCGCAGGCTTCACACGTTGACAAACCTCGCAAGCACGGACGTACTTGCGCACCCATTTATACTGGTGGGCCCAGTAGAAGTCTCGCGTGAGAAGAAGGTATGTCTTCTCACGGCCCGGATGCCCCGCCGTCGGTGCATCGTGATACTCATACATGATCCTGAGTCGCAGGTCATGGTCATTGGGCACGACAAAGCGGTCCGCGTTGTCGTCGACTGCACTGTAGAGTAATAACCCGTCGTGCACCCGATAACGGTGTGCACGAGCACGAAGATGCTTCGGCAGCTTCTGACGAGCTTTGCCAGAGGGCGCTGAGCCATAGGCCAGCAAGAGCTTCGCGTCCGCGTCGTGTGCCTACGCGACCTTCACGTCGTCCAACAGTGACGACGTTGGGGTGCTCGATCGCATGGCGTCAATGGCATTGACGTCGGCATCAGTCGTGGCGTAGTCAGGTCGACGCGAGAGCGCGTCGGCCACCACATTGAGTCTTCCGGGTTTGTACTCAACCCGGAAGTTATACTCTGCGAAGAATGAGAGCCATCTCGCTATCCGTTGCGAGATGTGCGGTGACTTCACAGCCATCCGCAGCGACGCGTGGTCCGTATAGACCACGAACGGTTTGCTTCCGAGTAGATACACTCGGAACTTCACGAGTGCGTACTTCATGGCAAGGAGTTCCTTGTCATGCACCGGGTAGTTGCGCTCAGCCGGCTTCAGCTGACGCGATTGGTAGTAGACGACACGATCACGACCCTCGTGATCGTGCTGCATCAACGCACATCCGATTGCGAAGTCGGATGCGTCACACACAACGTGGAACGGGCGATCTTGGTCGGCCACCGCCAAGATCGGCGACTCAGTCAAGCCCCGCTTGACTGCATCGAAGGTCTGCTGACACTCAGCAGTCCAAACCCACTCGGCGTCCTTCTTCAGGAGCTGTGACAGCGGGCGTATCATGCCCGCGTAGTCCTTCACGTACTTGAACAAGTACGTGGTCAAGCCAAGGAACTGCCGCAGTTCCTTGACGTTCGACGGCGTCGGCCACTCATTGATCACTCTGACCTTCTCAGGGTCAGGGCGGACACCGTTCTTCCCAACGAGACACCCGAGCACGGGTATCTCGCTCGCCCCGAAGATGCACTTCTTCAGGTTCGCATAGAGCTTGTGCTTGCGCATGAGCGCAAGCAGCTTCCGGAGATGCACCTTGTGCATCTCAACATCGCTCATCCCGTCCGCAGCCCGGCTGTGGACGAACACATCGTCGAAGTAGCTCGGTGCGAAGTCGCGCACCGAGCGCAACAAGTGCGTCACGCACCTGTTGAAGGTCGCAGGGGCGTTCTTCAGACCCTGCGGCATCACTAGCCACTCCCAGAGCATGCCGCTCGGCGGGCTCACGGCCGTGAGAGTGAGTGATATCGCTCTCACGCATGAGGATCTGATAGAACCCATCGCGCAGATCAAGAGCACTGTAGATAGTGCTCCTGGTCATCGAATCGATGATAACATCTTTTCGAGGTATCGGCGTCTGCGCCGGTATCGTCGCATCGTTCAGCTTGTTATACGCATGAACGATGCGCCAGCCGCCCTGTGGCTCCTTGACACAGAACGTCGGAGCACTGTGCGGGGATTTCGATTCCCGCACTTGTCCAGCTTTGCGACGACTTTCGAAGAAGTCGTCGATCGCTTTGACCTGCTCTCGCGGCAGTGGCCACTGCCGCGTGACACAGTACTTCGTCCCCGGCACGAGATCAATCTCGTGCTGGATGCCCTTGTCCTGCGGAAGCTCCGCAGGAATCTCTTCCGGAAGTACGTCCGCGTACTCCCGTAAGATCTCGTAGTAGGGACTCGTTTTCAACGAGTCCCAGCTCTGCTCTTCAAAGCGCTCCTTCTTCGTCTTCGCACTGAGAGTGTCCTCGCTCTCAGTGGTGCTCTCCATGAAGAACTGCCTCAGTTCTTCATTCTCACTCTTCGTTTTCTCGGCGTCCGAGAGAATGCATATTTGCTCGATGCGTCCATCGTGCAAGTCACGCGCGAAGCGCTTCCAGCTCATGACTGGAAGCGAAGTCAACTCCGACGCTTGCGTCGGAGGGTTAGCGAGGGTCATCTCCCTGCGCCTGTACCGGAACCCGGCACAGGTACGCGTCAAGACGTTCAACGTCTCGACGTCCGGCTTCTCAGCCTCCGTCTGCCCGGCAGACATTTCTTGTAGCGTCTCGGCCCCAGGCCGAGGCTTGCGCAGCGACCTTCGCATGCGCCGTCTTCTTGTCCTGCGGATCCCGGCTCCGCATGACTCTTGACTTCGTCCAGGCCCAGCCGTGGACGGGTGTTCTTCTTCAGTACCGACGGCGGGTTCATCCCGCGGGCGAGCGACTTCAAGCCCGGCTCGGTCGCCCGGCGCTTCGTCGTGCAGCCCGGCCGCACGACAGCATGCAAGTTTTTCCGGTGCGGGACGTTTGCAACCGTCCGCACCGCTTGCAGCGTCGACACCCAGAGTCGACACGCCATTCTTACCTCGACGCCTGTTATTAGCGGAGCCCTCCATTACGGAGGTTGCGTCGGCTCCCCGAGCCGACGAATCAAATTCACCCAAGCCATCGACTCCCGGAGTCGACGGCGTTACGTCACCTTGGCTCTTATTATTGGCCAGACCTGATCCAATCAGATTCGCGTCAGCCTCCACGGCTGAGGCGTGTGACTCGCCTGCGTCATCCGTGCCCCTTGAGGCCGGAGACTCTTCCTGATTCGCTGAAAAGCGGGTGTCGACCTCCGAGGTCAACACATTTCCTTCATTAGCTGTCGGCGGCAACGCCGACGCTAGCTGCTCTTGAGTGCGTGCTCGCGCGCGCCCAGGGCGCTCCGGGACAGCGTCATTAAGCGCTGTCTCGAGTGGGGAGTCGCGCGCACCTGTCGGTGCGTGCGTAGTGGCAACAGGGCCATCGCTCACTGTTCCGCTGTCGCGACCAAAGCGCACGAGAGTGCGCTTCTCCCAATCGATGACCGGATCATGCCGTGCAAGCCACGACATGCCCGATACAATGTCAAACTTATCGTCCAGATCCAGGACGATAAAGGGCTCGACAAACTCTTGATCTTCATACGTGAAGCGCACGCGTACCATGCGCTTCTCGGTCTTTACGATGGCACCCGTTGCCAGTCGTACTTCCAACATACTTCGAGGTATCTTTAAATCCTCGAAGTCAAGCCTTGATAGACTTCGCAGTCGAACAAAGTTCTTCGACACGCCAGAATCTACCAAAGCACGGAGAGAGCCGTTTGCTCTCATCGAGTTCACATTCAGGATGACAAGGTCAGGCTTGTTATCTTGGTTCTTGCAGTGAGAATGAATCTCACTGGGGGCTGCAGTCCTCAATGTCGCGTGTCCAAGGTCGACACGCGGAACTGCATTACCAGTAGGGCGCCCCGCGCCTACTAGCGTCTAGCGTTTTATGTTTGGTTGCGACGGTGCCCGGCACCGCCGCGATAGCCACCCTGCTGGTGCACGGGGGCTGTGCACTTCCGAGCAAAGTGACCGACTCTACCGCAACGGTAGCGTCGCACATTATTTCCCTGCGACTGCTGGGGTCCGGCAGTTGCAGCACTCGAGAGGTCCATGGATTCTGGGCCTCCCGTCCTCACCACCGGGCGTGGCTGTGGCCTCGGCACATGTGCATGCAGCTTAGCCTGCCGCAGGCTAAACACCTCCTGCATTACAAGAGTAATTGCAGCTTCTAGAGTACTCGGGTACTCACGGAAGAGATAGGTCTTCACAGGCCCATCTCTCAGACCCTTCATGAACGTGACGACCTTGGTCGCCTCGTCGATCGGATTGGTCACGATGTTCGAGACCAAGTACCGTGCTCTCTGAGCGTAAGCATGGACATCATGCTTGCCCTGCTGCAGGCCGAGGAACTCCGCCCTCGACCGGAACTCGTTTTGTGGGGGCTCAAACGCTCGTCTGAGCTCCTCCTTGAAACCCTCGTACGTGCTAAAGCACGTAGGATCCGAGAGTCGGCGTCCATACGCCCAACTTCTTGCGCGTCCGCCAAGACATGACATGGCGAACGCAACCTTCGACAACGGGTCGACGATACGTCGAGCCGCAATGGCTGTGTCGCGTTCGACAAGCCAACGGAGGAGAGGTTCACCCTCTCTTCCGACATAGTTGCTCACATTGAGCTTCAGCGATTGCGCGCGTGGTGTCGTCCCGGACGACACAGCGGTAGTAGCAGCAACATCGCGTTGCTCCTTCAGTATGAAACCCAGAGCAACACCGTGTTGCTCTGTCGACGTTAGCGTACGCAGCATCGTAGCTACAGCCGCCTCACCAATGACTGTTGACAGTCGTTGGAGAGCTTCCCACTCTGGGTCCGACAGGTGGGGACAGTCAGCGCGTGCAACGTGAGTTGCAGGCGTAGTGGAGCTTTCCATGGGCACCTCTGTATCCACGGGAAGGTTCTCAGCTCCGCGTTCGTGCGGTGACGTACTAACTTGGGTAGTCAGTCGTTGGACGGACTACAAAGTGCTACCAGGTGTTATGGGCCTACTACTTTAGCTTACACGTGTGCGCACGTGTACGAGGAAGCGTAGCTTGGTTTAAATTAGAGTTAATTATACTCGGGCCTCCGAGTATAGATTAATCTAAATAAACGACCCAAATAATGTTTTTTGGGTTAAAATGAGAACTGCTATTTTTGTTTTATGTTTCTGACTTCCTCTAAATGTAATATTCTAAACTGGGAAGCTGCCAACGGCTGGTTGGCAGAATTCCAGTGCTATGCATGTCGCTCATTGGCTAAAAGATGCTGCTTTCAGCCAATAGGAATCCTAAGTCTCTATGGACCACCGTCGTGGTGATCGTAAATGTATGTAGCCTTTGGTGTGTTTACACCAAGGTCAAGAAAGTCTTTCGAACCTCTAACAGACGTCGTATCTGTTAGAGTTACAAGTGACTGTAGCCACTTGTGCGTGTAACCCTGTTACACGTGGCGAGTCGGAACTCGCCATGGGATTTTTTTGGCCTAAGTCCTTACGTTGGATGGTAACCAGCATAAGAGCGGCTTGGAATGTTATTGTACAACATAAAGCTAACTTTATTGATGTGGTTGTTTTACTACCAGAATTGAAGTGTACTGCGGGGCCAAGGCGCACTTGCAGACGCCCGTGCCGACGGACAACAACTCTGGAGAAGCTGCAGTGCTGCGCAACATGAAGGCGCTATGCCCGCCGTCGCCAACTTCCCCGTGGCGACTGGTGATCACAAACAGGTTCTACACGTCGGTGAAGCTGGCGCTGGAGCTGCTGCATCGCCGGCTGTACATCACCGGCGCGACCCAGACGGACCGGTCCGGCTACGCCAAGAACGTCATCACGAAGAAGAATACCAAGCAGGTGAACAAGCGGAAAGTGATGGTGCCTCCGCAGGGGACCACGAAGCTAGCGGAAAACAAGCAGTTCCCTCAATTGACGGCAGTCATGTGGATGGACCGCCTTCCGGTGCACATGCTGTCGACAGGAGGCAGTCGACGCACCATCTCCATCCGTACGTATGCTCTTACTTTCTACAATGGATCGATTGCTAATCTATCTAATGATGTATGCAACAGTGCGCCGCATTCATGGCTTCATGCAGTCTGTTCCGGCGCCAGAGATAGTTCGAGACTATCACCGCTCAATGGGCGGCGTCGACGTTCATGACCAACTGAGGATGCAGCGCTACAGTGTCCAGCTAGCCTACAAGACGCGCAAGTACTACAAGACCCTCTTCTTGGGCCTCTTTGACATGGCGCTGGTGAACACCTTCATCATCTACCGCTTCTACAGAAAGGTGAACAACAAGCGGCCCCCAAACACTTTGCTTTTCTGGAAACGCTGATGGAGCAGCTACTCGCCGTCGACTCTCCGGAAGCGTTCGCTGCGATCGAGGTATGTGATATGTTGCCGGTTCAACATAGACGTCCACGCTTACGCTGATATCCAATATATCCTCGTGTTATGTTGTTGCTTTTGATTGCAGCAATCGACAAGTGCTCGAGAACGGACGGCGGCTTCCCCAGTCCGAGATGGAGCTACGCAGCGGTCAGCTGCAGACGAAGGGCTTGCACCAGCGGATTGTGACCACCGGCTTGAAGAGAACCCAGATACAGTCGACTGTGAGCAGGGGACGAAGCGCCGACACCGCACATGCAAGGTGTGCGCCATCCTCAAGGTGAAGCCAAGGTAATTCACCAAGTACTTCTGCCCAGAGTGCTCCACGGGCGATCGACGGTGCGTGGCAGCGCTTTCTACTGCTATGATTCTGTAATGCAGATTAACGTGTTATGTGTTGATGCAGCAAGTATCTGTGTAATGTAGCACGGGAGGGGAAAGCCAAAACCTTCTTCCAGATCTGGCACACCGACTGGAGCAACGGAAACGACACCCCGAAGGCGCTCCTGCAAGAGCACAAGATCCGCAATCGGCCGCCGCCCTCGCGCCCTGGTAAGAAGCGACGTCGCATCACGCAAGGGGGGTGCCACGCCGTCGCGGATTCCGAGGGAACGGCGGGAGCAGGTGGAGGTGGCGCGTCGGCTAGCGAGGCTGCCGTGGAAGAGAATGATGAAAGTGCAGGGGAGGCAGACGACGAATCGTCGTAGGCAGTGTGTTTGTTCTTTGGTAGCTTGCAATCAATGGAAACTCTACTTCTGCGGTTTGCAATCAATGAATGCGTTACTCTTGCTTTCCTGTCATTGGCTGCAACACGTGAAGCCATCGCTGCTGGACGTGTGCAACGATGCAAAGATGGGCTCTCCAATAACTGGGACATTCGTTATGTTGATTTCGCCATCTGCCTCATTTTGGCTGCATAAGATGGCTTTATGTTGTAGGAGCCGCTACTATACCCATCTGTCTTCTCTCTCGCACAACCCCATCCACCCTCTCCAAATCCGTACTTACGCGGCGACACATACAAAAACCAATATGCTCGGATACGGGACGGTAAAAAATATACCCTCGTAAAGAGAGCCGGGAAGTAAGGGGGTTAACGTGCCTCCGACAGGAGGCCACCTGCTTTTGATATAGGGTATGGATAAAATTTATCATCGAAACGGCGGCAAACAAAAAATTCCTTACGAACCTAAGTACGAATCGCGATTTAGTGGCTTTATCGTGAAGAGCGCTATCTTGCGCACATTTGAGCCCTTGTTTGCATCGAAATGTTGAAAATTCGAGGAGTTGTCGGCACTTGAAAAAACTATCCCCATTTGGGAAGGGTCAAAATCCTACCACGTTTTGAACGATAGTGACTTCAATTCTTTCTCAAAATTTGCTTAGCGTACATTATCAGAAAGCTCTCGTTCAAAGCAATCGCATTAAAGTCTTTTCCGCTTTCTACGAGTAATTTTCACTTTCAAAATTTCGATGTCCGGATAGGTACGAATTCTGATTGGTCAACTTTAAAGTCGATTATCTCGATAACTCCCAATGGCGCGTAAGTAACAAAATGTTACTTACGCGCCATTGAGAGTTATGCAGCGTAGCACGACGTTAAAG